TGAAGTACCAGAATTAAATAATATTAAATGGAAGCGACACATTAATCAGATAAAAAAACTTCATATCAAAGATACTATATTGCCTAATGGAAATTTTCAGAGTTCAACCTACAACAATACAGTTCACGATGTTGAAGTTGTTCCAAATACCTTTCCACTTCTCGTGACATGAACTGTTCGAATGAAAATGTAATCTCACGACCAAAGCGTACGGTTAAGCCATTTGAACGCTTAACTTATAATTGAATTATATAATAATATATATGTGTATGTATTTTTTTAAGGGGGGAGATGTGACATTCTGTATATAGTTTGTTAGTGTAGCACTCTGTACATAGTACTTTTTTATATATCATCTAATGGGTAGTAAAGAATAAAGAACGGAGAATAAGAAATTTTTTTATTTAAGTCGAATACACCACAGCTGGGATGATGTGTACTTTGCAACAAGAGTAATTATCGAAATTACCGCAAATGCACTCAAAACATGCACAAAGAGACGCCAAATACACAGGAAAACCGTTAAAATACCACCTTTGGTAACAAATGGATTGCTGAATTCCATTAACAAAAAAAACGAATATGATGACATAAACAAAACATATCGAAACAAGCTCAACTCATTGATCCAGAAGACAAAATCTAATTTTTACAAAAAACAAATCCATAACAATCTTTTGGGATGTTACCGAACAAATATCAAAACAAAACTTTGTTATACATGAAATGAAGAATCCTTGAAATAATGATATTATAACAGATACAACGCAAATTGCAAACGCATTCAATTCATCCTTCGTAGAAACGGGCAGAACTCTTGCCAAGAAAATCGAAAATGACGAAAATTTCGAAATAAAAAGGTCATCCATTTTAAACTCATTTGTTTTTGAACCGATTGACTCAAGGGAAATCAAAAAAACAATGCTACAGCTCAAGAATAACAAGGCAATAGGATGGGATGATTTATAATCGGAAACTAAGTATAAAACTTATATCAGTCTACATTGAAGATCCTCTAACCTATAAGAAGAAGGAGTATATCCTACTGATTTAAAAGAATCGATAATTTTACCACTTTTAAAAAAGCGGGATACATCGATTATTGCAAATTATCGTCCTATATCCTTGATAACCCATTTTTAAAAACTATTCAAAATGATTATTAGAAAGTGGCTTGTTTCGTGTTTCAATATAAAACAATATCAAACAGCCAATTTGGATTTAGGGAAACTTATCAATTCAAAATGATGTTCCATCATTGACATCGAAAGTTTAAATGAAAGTAAACAATCTCTGTGGATATTCATAGACTTATCGAAAGCTTTTGACGCTGTTAGTCATCATCTTCTCTTACAGTCTCTAGAGGACATTGGAATGCGGGGTAATAACTTTAAATTGTTTGAAAGTTATTTGACGAGAAGAAGTCAGAGATAGATAGATACATTTGATAGATAGAGAGAGTTAGAATTAATGACGTATTGAGTAGAGAAATGGAGATCGACTATAGCGTACCTCAAGGCTCTGTGCTAGGAACAATTTTAGTCAATGTATATAAACGAAAGTTCTCATTAAACAATAAGGGTAGTATAATTGGTTTTGCGAATGACACAGCCATCTTTAATGAAGCTGATAACTGGAATTCTTTAAAGATAACCGTTGAAACGGAATATCCTCTTATAAAACAATGGTTGGATA